CCTCCATTTAAAATTCCTCAGTGTTGTACACTTCATAATCAGCAGGAATAACTGATTTTCTAACTCTTTGAGACCTTTTAGGGGCCTCCACATTTGGCACATCTTCTGTTTGAGGCTGTTGTTGCTCCCCCTCATGTGTGGCAATTAGTTCTATAGGATCCTGAAGAACAGGTTCCTCATCGTTATTCATTGTTGCCACAGATGGAATAACAACAGGTGCTGGCACCATAGTATCTTGTATTATCGGTGCAGCGACAGTAAGCAGTGAGAAAAATGGCTCATGAATCATCGGAGTGGGCGCATACACCCGCTTCTCTTCAAGGTCAATTTCTCGAGCTACCATGCTCCCCCTCATCATTTCATCCTCTAGGAAGACAGCGTGTCTCATTTCCATAAACTTTGTATGTCTGTCTGGATAGTAGAAACGAAAACCTTTTGACTTTTTTGGGTAACCAATGAAATGACAACTCACTATTTTGGGATCTAGCTTCCCAATGTTTGGGTTAAATACTTTAGCCTCAGCAGGACTCCCCCCCACACGCAAGTGGTTTAGTGAGGGTACTCTTCCTGTCCACAACTCATACGGTGTTTTGGGCACCGACTTACTTGATACTCTATTGAGAATATGAATGGCGGTTTTTAACGCCTCCATCCATAGGCTCATCGGTAAGGTGGAGTAACTTATCATACTGTGCACCATATCCATCAGGGTACGATTGCGCCTTTCAGCTACTCTATTCTACTGAGGTTCGCTCGGTGTAGAATACTGGGCTACTATACCATTCTCTTGTAAGAACCTTGCAAAAGGTCCAGGAACTTGGCCATATGGGGTATGCCGACCGTAATACTCCCCCATGGTCGGACCTGACTATCTTAATCTTTAAATTGTGTTGGTTTTCAACTTCTGCCTTAAATATCTTAAATTTATCCAACGCTCCTGTTCTTTCTTTGATTGGATAAATATAGCCATAACGAGAGTAATCATCTGTGAATGTTATGAACGAATCATAACCATCCACACTCTTTATAGGAAAGGGGCCATAGAAGTCTGTGTGAATAATCTGTAGAATTCATACGCTTTGTTTGGCATCTTTCTTAATTTTCTTTACATACTTTCCTTTTATGCAATCTCTGCATTGTTCTAAATCTGAGAGCTCTAATGGAGAAAGAATATCATTCTTAACTAGTCTTTCTATTCTCCCCCTCGAAATATGGCCTAAACGACAGTGCCATAATTTCGACAATGCATCGTGAGCTCTCTTTCGTTTTTTGTTTACATCCACAGACGAGGATATATTTACATTGTCGCACGCAACGTTCCCATTATCGCATACAACATTCACATCATCACGTAGTGATAACAAATAAAGCTTATTTTGTAAGATAGCAAGACCAACACATGCATTATTAAATGTTATCTTACATTTGCCATTTCTAAAATGGCAATCATATCCATCATTGTCCAAACATGAAACACTAATCAAGTTCCTCTGTAACGAGGGAACATAAAGAACATATCTAAGTATAAGTTTAAAACCATCAGCAAGCTCTAGAGAAAGATTGCCAATGGCTTCAACTTCTGCTCGGACTCTATTTGCGACTTTAACGTGTCTTTCGCTTCTTTCCGTAGTCCTTGTCGAACAGAATCCCTGTAAAGAATTAGCAGCATGAACAGTTGCACTTGAGTCAATCCACCAAGTAGATTTTGAATACTGTACATACAGGGATTCATTTATGAACGTAATAATGTTCTCACCTTTCTTTGCCATGATCAGCTTTAAGTAATCGGGATAATTTTTCTTATAATGTCCTGTCTTCTTGCAATAGAGACATTGGTCTTTCTCTACTATGAACTGGTTCTGCTGAGGCTTATGCAGCATGGGACCCTTTCTCTTTGACTTTGAGGAGAAGTTGGCATTATTATTCTGTTTTTTATTGTCTTTCAAATAATTGATAGAGCCACCATTGGCAGCTTTCATTCTCTCCTCTTCTTGCACACACATAGCCATGAGCCTCTCTATGTCTCATTTCTCGGGTTGTATGTTGTAGTTGACAACAAAAGTGTCAAACTCTTTTGGCAAGGAAGCAAAAATCAGATGGATAAAAAACTCATCCTTGAGAGCCAGATCCATTAGTTTTAGCTTGGATGCCAAATTGCTCATCCTTAGTATGTACTCTCTTATGCCACAATTACCTGAGTACCTCTCTGTCACAAACTGCTTTATCAGCTGGGTAGCATATGTTTTTGAAGATCCAGTGAACTGACTCTTTATTCTTTCGAGATACTAGGTGACGGTGTCACACTCTGGGATTGAGCCTATAATTGCAGGCTCAATCGTGTTCTTTATCACAGCTAAACACTTTTTGTTGGCAGTGACCCACTTCTTATGCTCAAGGTCATAGGACATTCTTTGGGATGCAAAATCCCTCTCTCTGGTTACCCAAGCGGCATCAGCCTCGTTTGTCTCCCTCATCGGTGCCACAGGCTCTGTGGGACACGGTGTGGTGACTACCTAGTCCACCTCAGCCAAGATGAAGGCCAAGTCGATCTTTTTTTTCCACTCAATGTAGTTATCCCCTTTGAGAGTGGGGATCTCTTTGATACAACTTATCAAGTTGTATCCGCATGAAAACACAATTCAAATAGAGTGAGAACATAAATAATAACAATAACAATTGCATGCCTTAGTTCCAACGTTGGTCAAAATTAAAACATACAATTGTTTTCTACACTAATTCTACATCAACGTTGGGCAGAAATAGAATTAATGCATGACAAAGCATCATAATATTGCCATTAATCAATGTTGGTCAGAATAATAACAATATTATGATCAATTAAAACATATCCATTTTTCAAAATTAAATTCTCATGTTGGTTCAAATTTAATAATGAAAATAACATCTTTAAATACGCAGCGGAAAAAATAATCTCAATTTTGTGAATTTTACCCACAGGAAAAATTCTCTTTTCTATTTTCTTTAAGCCATTAATCAATTTCCAGGAAATAAAACTTTTACTGGAAAAAGAAAAAACAATTTATGCATTTCTTTACTGTTCCTTCGGCCCGACCATGAATGAATTGCCGGCCCGCTCTGCTCTGCTTGCTTGTATTTGTGCTTCTCGAGCCACAACACTGGGCTGGGCATTAAAGTGCGCGCCATTGCCATGTGTTCACTGGGCGATCATCGCCCGATCACACTCGTCCGTTCATCTAGCATCGGACGGTCGCGCGTTGACTTCGGACAGAATAAAACCGACGCCGCGGCGCCCCCAGGGTAAACCCTAATTCATTTTCTGTTGCTCTCTCTCTCTCTTCGCCTCGCTCGCTCTCGCTTTCGGTCAGTGAGTAAAGCAGCTAATCTGACAAGCGTGGCGCGACCGAAGCGATCAAGCGTCGTTGTTGCGGCCCCTTCGTCGTGGCGCGCTCCCCCAGGTGAGTGCGCCTTGCCGTCAGCCGGAGCGGACTAGCAGCGGCACCCTCTTCCCCTTGTTGAGGAGCTCCTGAAACCCCAAAACCCTAGATCTCCCGTCCTCTTCTCTACCTTCTTTCTCTCAGCCTCACGAGCACGCGCCCGACGACAGTACAGGGGTGAGGTTTTCCATTTCCCCTTCCCCTTTTCTCTTTGATTGTTTTCATCTTTACTTCTCGGATCTATCCGATTTCTACCTTTTCTTTTCGGATCTATCCGATTTCAGGGTTGGGGATAGGGATCAAAGTTAGGGTTAGTGTTAGGGTTTCGGGTTCATTGTTAGGGTTTCACTGTTGTTCTTTTCCTGAATTGATTGCTGGTTTTAGGGTTCGATTTAGACGTGAAACTGAGCCCTCCTTCTTTCTGTCACCCAGTTAGGGTTAGGGTTCAACCGAACCCTCTATTCTTTTCTCATATCCGAACGGATCTAAACTGATAAGCTAGATCTATACCTAAACGAGTCTCTGGTACCAATGTTAGAACTATTGAACACTAGGATCATAGATCTAGCCGGGCTCTATTCGGGATATGATAGACACTGTACATCCTAATGCTTGTGAAACTAGGGAGACAGAGAGGGAAGGGAGAAAGTGTTGAACCTGACACCGTAGGGGGGAGGGTTCGGAAGATGCCATCAGGTTCGTCGGTGTAGTCTGCGCTAGGGCAGCGACGGTCGGTGAAGAGGGCGATGAAGACGTCGTCGCCGATGGAGCGGGCAGCACGGCTGGTGGCTTCCCGTAACTGGCTACGCCCCTCTCTGATCGGATTAGGGTTTGGATGTCGGTAGGGAGCTTGGCTCAGGTCAATCTCGTGATAAGAGCTGTCGGCCCCCACCTCTTTTTATAGCGCAGGGTGACAGGGGCCCTTCAGCCATGGTGGGCTGGGCGCCCCCGATCAGAGCGCGAATCAAAGGCCCAACTGGGCCGTTGGGTCTAGTTAGGTTAGAGATCAATCTAACAACAGGATGTTCCGCGTATCTCTCACCGGCGTCGAGAGCAAATCTGAAGTAGTTTAACTGAACAACCAAAAGAGATTAACAACCTTTCTCAAAAAAAAGAAAAGGTAGTAGAGATAAAAAAAATGATGAGATAAGGCCTTGTTTAGTTTGTTGGTGTAAAGTTTTGGGGTGTCACGTGGGGGTGTTGTATGAGGTGTTCGGATACTAATAAAAAAATAAATTACAGAATCCGTTGATAAACTGCGAGACGAATTTATTAAGCCTAATTAATTCGTCATTAACACATGTGTTAATGTAGCACTTTATTATCAAATAATGGACTAATTAGGCTTAAAAGATTCGTCTCATAAATTAGTCACAGTCTATGTAATTAATTATTTTTTAGTCTATATTTAATACTCTATATATATGTCCTAACATTTGATGTGACAGGGTGTTAAGTTTTGTGGTGGAAACTAGAAAAGAGCTAACCACGGATTTACCGCCAGCCGGCACTATAGATATGCCCTACCACCGCAGCTCATTAATTCCATCTCCATCTCTCTCGCTCCATCTCCGTCTTTTCGAAATGGCGGCAGCAACCAGCTGCAGCTCGCTCCTCCTCCTCCTCCTTGCCTCGCTCAGCGCGTTCTTCTTCTTCCATGCCACCGCTGTGCACACCCTGGCTGCCGCCGCTGCCGGCGGAGCAAGCAGGATCGATGCGACGACGGCCACCACCACCACCGATGGCGGTGACGCTGACGCCAAGGTCAGATACTAATGGTGATCAGATGATCAATGGTGATGCGTATATTAGATCTAACATCGTCGTGCCTACGTACGTGCAGGTGTACATCGTGTTCACGGAAAGGCTACCCGCGGCGGCAGAGCCGTCGTCGTCGGAGCAGGACACCGGCGCGGCAGTTGCGTCGTACCACCACGGCCTTCTCGACACCGTGTTGTTAGATGGGAGGTACGTTCGTTCGTTCCTAGGTTCATTTCGTACACAAAAGCTCTACTCCTTATGAATGTTTAGTACGTCGTCGTGACGGTTGCATGTGTGTTTGTGTCTCATCTATCTTTGTTTCAGTTCCAGCGCTCCAGACCGAGTGGTGTACCACTACTCGAGAGGCCTGCACGGCTTCGCAGCCAGGCTCACCAACGACGAGAGGAACAGGCTCGCCGGTATAACACTGCTACAATGTTACACTGTTGCCGTGTATTCATTTCATTCTTAGATCGAGAATCAATTTCACGTTTTTTTTTTTACCTTTAGTTTATTAGATTCAATCTATTCATACTAGTACTACCTGTGCTGCACTTGGTCGTCGTGATCACGGTGGGAATGGGATTTGATCTGAATAATGACTTCTCCATCAGAGAAGGAAGCCGTTCTGTCCATCCACGAGAAGGTGGTGTACAGGCCTCAGACGACGAGGTCATGGGACTTCATCGGCCTGCCTCTGCCGCAGCAGCACCAGACGGACCCGCTGCCCTTCGAGAGCGACGTCATCATCGGCATGATGGACACCGGCATCTGGCCCGAGTCCCAGTCCTTCTCCGACGACGGCCTCCCGCCGCCGCCGGCCAAGTGGAGGGGGGTCTGCTCCAACTTCACCTGCAACAAGTACGTCGTCGTACTACCTCTTATCACTACCACGCATTCATTCACGCATTTGATGACATGCCATTATTTACATCTATCTATCTACGTGCTATGTTGCGGCGGCGCAGCAAAATCATCGGAGCGCGCGCGTACCAGAACGGCAGGACGACGCTGTCGCCGCGCGACACGGACGGCCACGGCACGCACACGGCGTCGACGGCCGCGGGCCGGCCCGTCGCCGGCGGCACGGCCCGAGGCGGGGCGCCCGGCGCGCGGCTGGCCGTGTACAAGGTGTGCTGGGGGTCGGCCGGGTGCTCTGCCGAGGACATCCTGGCGGCGTTCGATGACGCGATCTTGGACGGCGTCGACGTGCTGTCGGTGTCGCTCGGCACCCCGATCCCGTTCGACTACGCCGACGACACGATGGCCGTGGCCGCGTTCCACTCCATGCGTCTGGGCGTCGTCACCTCCGTCGCCGCGGGCAACGCTGGCCCCGAGATGGGGTCCGTAAGCAACGTCGCGCCGTGGATGGTCGTCGCGGGGGCGGTCAACACCGACCGCAAGATCGTCAGCGAGCTCGTGCTCGGCGACGGGAGGCGCGTCGTGGCGAACTCGTCTATCAATGTGTTTTTTCCTCATCTTGGGAAGCCGGCGCTGCTCGTCGACCCTGGGAGCTGCACGGAGGAGTAGCTGAAGGGGAAGAGGTACAAGGGCGCCGTGCTCCTGTGCGGCTTCGACATGGATTCCGACGCATTCGCCGCCACGGGCGCTCATGGCGCCATCCAGTACAGCCTCATGCCGGACGACGGCGGCGCCAACAACATCCGACCATGGTGCTCAACCGCGAGGCCTACGACCAAATCGTCGACTACTACAACACCACCACCAGGTACGTGCCAATCTGGCTAGGGCGTGCATGGCCATAGATGTCAGTGGTCATGTACTCATGTCGTGTCGTGGTGTTCTGACCGTGCTTGCTTTTGATTTGCAGGAACCCTATGGCCACAGTGAAGAGCAGCGTGACTATCAAGGACACGTCCTCGCCGAGCGTGGCGAGCTTCTCCTCCCGCGGGCCTAATCGGATCACCCACGGCGTCCTGAAGCAGGACATCAGCGCGCCGGGGGTGGAGATCCTGGCGGCGTGGTCGGGGGCGAAGTCGGTGTCCGACATCGACGCGGACACGCGGCGGACCATGTACAACATCATCTCGGGCACGTCCATGGCCAACCCGCACGTGACGGCCGCCGCGGCGTACGTCAAGTCGATCCACCCGACGTGGTCGCACGCCGCCGTGCTCTCGGCGCTGGTGACCACGGCGACCCCGATGACGACGGACTCCTCCCCGGAGGCGGAGCTCGCGTACGGCGCGGGGCTGGTGAACCCGCTGGGCGCGCGCTACCCGGGGCTCGTGTACGACGCCTCGGAGGCGGACTATGTGGCGTTCCTGTGCGCGCAGGGCTACAACGCGTCCCAGCTCGCCACGCTAACCGGCAGCAGCGCCAAGCAGGCCGCCGCCGCCTGCCCGGCCTCGGCCAAGGAGGGCGCCGCCCGCAGCGGCGTCGCCATCGGCGGCCTCAAGTACCCGTCCGTCCACGGTGCCGTCGGCCGGCGACCTCAACTACCCGTCCGTCTCCGTGCCCGTGCTCAACTACGGGGTGCCGTTCGCCGCGGAGTTCCCCCGCACGGTGACCAACGTCGGCCCGGCTGACTCGGTGTACCGCGCCACGGTCACCTGCGCGGTGTCCGGCGTCGACGTCACCGTGACGCCCGACGAGCTCGCCTTCGGTCCGGACACGAAGAAGCTCAGCTTCACGGTACGCGTCTCCGGCTCGCTGGCGTCGGTGAACGGCAGCCTCGGTGCCTCGGCGTCCGTGGTCTGGTCCGATGGGAAGCACAGAGTGAGGAGCCCGGTCTACGTGTTCCCCTATAAACACGTCATGTAGTTTAGGGCATAAATAAAGTACCATTTATTTATTGGAAAAGGTTAGGTGTCACTAGCTAGGCAGATTGTCATCAGAGGTTGCCGTTAGAGTTTGCTGTCATTTGGATCAAATTTATGCATGTGATTGAGATTGTCACTTGCTGAGTGACAAAATCTACTACTGTGGAAGGAAATATATATATTGGCGCACTGTTTGGTTTTAAGTTTTGTTGCGTAAAATAAACTTTATATATTGGCATATTGCCGCGCGCTTGATTCTTCTCAATACACCATCCGTCCCAAAAAGAATGACATTTTAGCTATGAATCCGTCCAAAAAAGATAGAGGGTGTACTCAGCAAAATCACGGAGTACGGAATGCCGAGCTGTGAGTAACAGATTTTCAATTAGGGGCCGTTTGGCAGGGCTCCCCGAGCGGCTCCAGCTCCTGGCGAAGCCCTGCCAAACGGTCCGAAGAACAGCTCCGCCGGCAAAGCCCAAAAGGAGCCGGAGCCTTTTTCCTACTGCGCCCATGGAGCTACCAAAACAAGCTTCTTCGGGCTCCTCCTTTCCCATGGCGCGAAATGACGCAGTGGTCCTCCGACGCGTGCGTCACAGCGAGCTGAGCAGAGCCGCCAGTTTTCCTTGTGTGCACTGTATGTAAAGAAAGACGAGGAGTTGCTAGCGAGAATAGGAGAGAAGACAGGGTTCCTAATGGAAAAATACAAGAGAGAAACAAAATAAAGAATGGCTCCACTAATTTAGAAATAGACTAGGGTTTCCAATGCAAAAGCAACTGTTAGTTTCTTCTCTAAAATGGACCAAATCGCCTTGAACTTGTAAAATACGTAATAAATCACATAAGTATCAAAAAATTGTAAAACAAAATTTTCAAGGTTGGGTTCAACCAGATGTACACCGTAGTAAAATAATAAGTGAGGGTATTATAGACATTTGCTATCTTTCATCACTTTTAGAAAAACAGGAGGAGCCATTTTGCCAATCGTTTTTTTTCCAAAACGGCTTCAGCTCCTTTAGAGCATCTCCAAGAGACTCTTCATATCATTCCTAAATGCTAGGAATAGAGATTTTGGTGAAAAACTACCCTTTAATAGCTTTTCTAAATGGTCATCCAAATATAGCCATCTTTTATTCCGGATTTTTCGCTAGCCAAAAATAGAAGACGAGAATGGTTCTCTAGAGTGCGTATGAGATATAGAAAAACTGTTGGAGAGTGAAAATTTATAGAAAGCGGTTTTTATGTAAATAGCTCTCCAAATGATGTTTTAGAGAGTGAGATTTAGAAAGGCTCTTGGAGATGCTCTTAGAAAAACCATTTCTTTAGAGGAGTCAGAGCCAGAGCTATTTTTGAGAAGTTGGAGTCCTACCAACCTTGATCCTTCGGGAAGTACCAGTACCGAAATATTGTTTAGCTGTTACGCTCCCTATCTGCGAATTGGTTTTTACAAATAGGAATTTTGATATAAAGCATTAAGTTCCAAAAAAGAGCCCCAAAACTTATTTTGACTTTGGCCCAAAGTGTCCAACGGCCCATTCCGCCCCTCTTCTCATTTTTTGCGCTCCTCCCCGTCCCCGTACCGCGCTTGTCAATTGCGGCAGCCGCGCCTGGTCGCCTGTGGGTCCCATCTGGAAAAAAAGAAGTTTTGGTCTTCTGTGGATCCCATCTCAAAATAAGTTTTGAACATAGAAAATAGGACACTCTTGTAGGAAGACTTTTTCTTAATCCAAATTACATTTTTTATTTTTGTACCCACATAAAGCCACTATTTTGGCCTTTTTTTTGCACTCTTGAAGATGACCCATTTCCAAAACAAGAGCCACACGACATGTACAAGGGTTTTAGTCTACTCAAAAAATAGAAACACACTCCTAATTTTGTTAGGTATTCAAGTAATGTTCGAACCAAAGTAGTCTGGCAAAATGCTAACTAACCTATCATTAATTAATCACTCTAATTTTTAACATTAACGGCTTCTAGACCAAGCGGTTAGGATGTCCAAGTAGCACCCTCGCGTGCTGGTTCAAACCCCCACGGGCACGTTCCCGCCTATCCCGCATTTCCAAAGCAGTCCGTTCACAGAGCAACGGTGCTGCTATTTGAGGGTAGGGTATGGGATTTGAGGGTTTTCTCGGTCTACATGAAAGATCTTCTACGTTGAGCACCTTGCTTGGGATGACGTTTTCCTCCGCAGACCAAGGTTTTAGCTTGCTTAATTTTCTTGTAAGTCATAGTTTAAAAAGATAGACATGCATGCTATTGATTTTTGTTACCAATTACAGGAGTCATTTTACAAAATATGATGTTTAAAATACATGCATCGATAAAATTTAAAAGGCAGATATGTACGAATGAAGTTAAGCAATCCATGCACAAATTTTAAAACTTCAATATCTTGTATTTCAGAAATGGGGGAGTGGTATTATACATACACATTGATTACATGCTACATGATTACAGAGATATAACTTGTGCGCGGAATTCAGCCGTTGCAAATCACACTATAGCATCAGGGTGGAGTAGTCTTAAGTCTTAACGGAGAAGCCCTCAAGGAAATGAACACATGAAATCAGTGTGAAGCACTCTCCATTCCAAATTATAAGTCATTCTAGCTTTTCGAGACACATAGCTTCTACTGTACACCTAGATATAAACTATATCTCGATATATAGTAAAAACCATATATCTAGAAAAGTCAGAACAACTTATAATTTGGAATAGAGAGAGAAGAACACAGCAGAAAGATTCAAGACAGAATTGTAGAAAATCAGAACAGAACACAGACTCAATTCAAGATCAACTCTTGGACTCTGGAACATGTTTGCCTGATGTCTTCGGTAGGCAAGGCAAAACTACGTAAAATACAACAGAAAAGACCCAGGATCAGGGCAGACACATCAACAATGTTGGTTTCCAATTGTTCTCAATAGTGCACACAAAGCTGCAAATATGATTGATAGATCCTGCAAAGTAGGACCACAACTTCATGCTACACATAAAACACTAGAATCTTGGTGCAGAGACGCCTGAATGGTTGTACCATGGACCCAAAAAATTTCTAGCATAAAACACTAGGGCTAAGATAGTAACTTCACGCTTCTAAAGCAAAAGCCACACTGTCCCGGCGCCTTCCCACCCGTGTAATAAATAGAACGACAGAGCCTCATTCCTCTTTCACTGCTGCGGCATGGTACTTGTCAAGTTCAGCGTCAAGATCTGCAGCAGAAATGGCGGTGCGATTCCGGTCCTGTCCTCGGCCTTTCCCCTGTCCGCGGCCACCACTGCTTTGACTACTACGTCCACCCCAACTGTTGCCTTGAGGTGCTCTTCGCTGACCACCTCTTTGGGATTGAGGCACACTGCAAACAAAGTAACCAGAATGTTATGCTACATGGTGGGGTGCATGAAAACTGTATGTTCTGTAAAGTATCATGGATGTCCATGGTTGGATTAGTGCCAAGGACTTGTCAGATGGAAGGAACACAAAGCAGTACATGGAAATGAGTAAATGACCACAAGGAGCAAAATTGACTGTGTTCCACGGTTGCCAGACATACTCTTGTGTGACCAAATATACAAAGCATGATTGCCCGTGTCATAACATTCACTTCTCTGTTGGCCCAAGCTTACCTAGTCTGTGCCATCACTAACAATGTAAGAAGCACCACAAAGGCCATCACAGGAGGGGACCACTCCTAAAAGGTCATCAGCATGGCTATACTAGTAAGCTACTCGACAATATTCACACCTGTAAGCCTGTAACATCCTTAATCAGCACACAGTCCCAACTGCATACCTGTTGACATATATTGCACAAACTGTCAAAGGTGAATGGGCCTGGTACCAGGGTCAATATTATTTGCCCTTGACTGGAGGGCGCAAGTTGAATAATTCCTACATGAAGTAGCTGTTACAGAGCATTTGCCTAGTGTACCAATTCCAACCCTAGCTACTTGACAAGAATGAAACCACCTATGGTTTTAGACAATTGTTTTTTCATTTGGCATGAGATGGTGTGGTGAACAGAAAACAAAGGAAACAACCATTGCTACTGCAGGGATTGTCTTGTGTTACTATGGCACTAGAATTCGACACTAAACATATGTTCTTCAGTGGAGGGATGGAGCAACAGCGGTACTTAATTTAGTATATATATTGGGCGGAACTGGTGACTGGACATGATCATAGTTTTTAAGGCGTCGCCTAGGCGACGACTAGTCGTCCGAGCGGGTTTTCAAATGCGGCGTCGCTGTCGCCGCATCCTCCTGGCGTATGGCGTCGCCTCGCGGTCGAAGTCGTCCTTCTCGCTGAGGCGGACGCCGCGGGACTAAAAGGCGCGGGGAAAGAGTGGCGCCGCGCGCTCCGGCGGGCGGGAAAAGAGCGGCGTGATGCCCTCGCGCGGGAAAAGCAGCAGCGCCGCGCCTACACCTCCCGCTAAAGGCTCCCAATCCCCATCGCGTCTGAGAGAGTGAGAGAGGGAGAGGGAAAGGAAGGAGAGAGGAAGAGAGGAGAGGGCGGCGACGCACCTCAAATCTGTGGCGGCGGGCGGGCGGGCGAAAGCGACTGCCCCCTGCAAGTCCGTCCCCCCCCCCAGCGAGGCGCCCGTCCATGGCGACTCTGCTCCGTCCGAGAGAGTGAGAGAGGGAGAGGGAGAGGAGAGGGAGAGGGAAAGGAAGGAGAGAGAGGCAGAGAGAAGAGGGCGGCGGAGCACCTGAAATTCGGTACCGGCGCCGCCGCAGGCGGCTGCCCCGCGCGACTCCGCCCCATCCGCACGACTCAGCTTGTCCGCGACTCCCGCCCCGTCCGCGATTCCTGCCCCGTCGCGACTGCTCCGTCCACCGTCCGGAGAGCGAGAGGGAAACAGAGGAGAGAGGGGCCAATCCCCACCTGATCTGCCCCTTGCCTTCGGTGCGTCCTTTTCTCCCTCCTTCCTCTGCTCTGCATCTCCTTTCTCTGCACTGCTGCTTGGACTCTGTTCTGCATCTTCTTCCTCTGCTCTGCTCCTTCTACTCTGCTCCGCTGGTTGCTTGCTATCTGTGGCTGCTATGGACTAGCAGCACTAGTAATTAAGTTATGTTATGTCACTAGAGTCTAATTTGCTCCTATTGAGAGATGAGAGATTTCAAATTTGCCAGTTTGCTACTTTATGTTGTGTCCTGTTACTGTAGCAGCACTATTTATTATGATATTATATGGTATGATTTGCTTCTGATTTCTAGTGGTATTATATATTAAGACGTTAGTAAGGCGTCGCCTCGCCTCGCGCCTTAAACGCCTAGGCGTCTGGAAGGGGGTCAGGCGCCGCACCTCGCCTTACCGCCTTAATAACTATGGACATGATCATAGGCTGTGAATCACTGAGCATTTATTAGTTTTCAGCCTTTGCACAGTGATGCATGCTAAAAGCATTACCAAATTTAAGCAAATACTTTGAAGTCCAATCATGCAAGCATCTAGCAACATTCACACAAGATGTATGTGGAAATTGTATGTTGTTCACAAGGCAGTGCACACCTAAATAATCATGAATCACAGCAGTATACACACAAATATTTCTAGGTTGATCAGCATATTAAAAAAAATGACAAGCCATATATACTTCCTGACTAGATAACCCAGCCCCTCAATTCTAGCATCAGCCATGATAAAATGGAGAAGTTGTGTTTCTTTTATAGTACAATTCTAACACAGCAAGATTAGAAATGTAGTAGTGGGTACGCATATAATTAGCTCTAAAAGCTGTACAATGCATTTGTTTATTTCAGTTTCATCCATCATTCTACAAGTCCAAAAAAGATCTTCTTGTTCTTCCTTCCATATCTCTCATAACAAACCTAGGATATTCCATAATATCCTCACTTGAGCCTTTTAACGGTCCATCAAGAAGGTACATTGTGATACAGAAATTATAATGTGGATTTTGGTACCAAGGTACCAAAATTTGGTACCTCCCATATCATAAACAGTGGTACCACGCCCCCCCATATCATAAACAGTGGTTCCATAATATCCTCACTTAAACCATACAAAATAGTACTTAAAACAGATTGACAGATGGATAACAGAAATAAATTGGTTGAACCAACCTGCTATGTATATCATTATAGTTCTGCAACGGACGATTGGGTATTATTGGTGGCATGGGAGGTGGTTCGACATTGTTTCCAATGAGCTCTAAATTCATTGGCTTCCCATCAAGTAGAACACCATTGTATCTCTTGATAGCATCCAAAGCATCCACTTTCCTTGCAAAGACAACTTCCGCAGTTCCCTAACAGATTGAAGGTTTCAAAGGAGTCCAAAATGAGAAAAGTGCTAATGATAGTGAAAGAAAGAGTACAGTCAACATTCAACCTTGGATCTCCCATCCTTGTCATAGTTCATTGAATAACGCTTGAGCTCCCCAACCTCTGAGAAGAGTTCCTGATGAGACAGAACAACATAACTCATCAGGGCTATCACATCGATCGAGATTAACTGCTAATAGAAAAGGCTAAGATTTAGGTATCAGTCCCTCCAAGATGAAAACTTGAACCATCAAGTTTTATCACAGGATAAGAATGCGTTCGCAGAAATTACATAAATATGACGAACCTACATATCCTATTTTCATGTGACTGACATAAGTATTTATAATGTTAAATGCAGTATATCAAGGACAAGAAAGACCCTAGAATCAGGGGACAGTTCATTCTATATATGGCAGAAAGCTACAGACAGGATACTTTAGTGTTCACAATTTCATGGATCAGTTGATCCTACAGTAGGAATTAAGACCAAAGAGTATCTATATATCGCAGAAAGCTACAGACAAAAAATATTAAATTTATTTGCATATTGTGAACACTAAAGTGAATGTTGCAACTTGGTCACACAACTATGGACTACATAAAAATAGACTACTACTTTTTTTTTTCTTTCAAAGAATCATGTCATGCTAAGTGCTAATAGATCAATTCCATCATACAAGCATAAAAGTTGTGCTCATTTGGCTAAGGCTAATAGTCTGAAATCATATACATGATAAATGTATTGCCAACAATCAGGATAGCAAGAACCTTTTGTGTGGAAGAGTGGATGTATGACATCCATAGATCCATATGACCACAGAACTGTCAAGTCAGTTCTTCAAAGAAAGCCTAAGAAAAAGGGAAAGCTTTGGACGCAAAAAGGTTCTTGCTAAATCTTTTAAAACTGTGCCATTCCTCCATTGACAAAATGACACCAAAGATTCCCCAAAAAAAAAAACGTAACAAGAAACAGCTAAGGCAAATCACCAAACATAGTACTGCTAGATTCATTCACATGAAAGTACAGTAACTTTGAACCCACTCATATAATTACAAAAACAGGGAGCCTATGTCCTTCAAATAACACAGTAGAACTGAAGCTATTGCCAAATTGCTGAGTGAATTGCCAAGCAACAGGAGCATGGGTAGCACCTGGACATCCTCGACGGTGACGCTGGAGTCAAGGTTGGAGATGTGCAGCTTCGTCCCCGTCTCGAGCGACCTTGCTGTGGCCGGCGGCGGCGGCGGCGGCGCGACCGCGGCTATAGCGGCGATGTGCTCGGAGTAGACCCCGTAGGGCGAGTCGGCGGCGGCACGGGCCTGGGCGGGACGAGTGGGCACAGGCCGCCGGCGGCGGCGGCGTTAGGGTTTTCTGGCGGAGGGAACCCGGGGCAAGGAGGGCGCAGGGCGCACGCGGCGTACCTTGGGAGCGGCCGGTGGGTAGGGCGCGGCGCGGGCGGGGTGTGGCGCGCGGCGGGCAGGCCCCGACGAGGACGCGGGGTTGGCCTTGGGCCGGGACTTGGACTTCTTGATGAGGTCGTCCAGCGACATGTCCAGGCCGCTCGCCATGGTCTCCGGCAGCTGGAGGGGAACTGGCCGTACGGCGGGGAACGGCCGAGACGACGGCGAGGCCGCTGTGATGTGACGGCGGCGGCGGCGGCGGCGCGTTTCGTGGGCGCTGCGGACGAGGGCGAGTGAGTCGCGGCTTGCGGGTGCGTCACGAGCTCCCTTTCTCTGTAATCGGAGGTCCAGGACTTGTGGCCAAATTTTGGAAATTTAGGCAGATCCCATCAAAATTTTAAGTTTTTTTACTCTTTCTTCATCACATTAATTTTTAGATATATGTATGGAGCATTAAATATAGGTAAAAAAATAATTAATTGTACAGTTTGGTTGTAAATCATGAGATGAATTTTTTGAGCCTAGTTAGTCCATGATCGGACAAAGTTTGTCAAATACAAACAAAACGTGCTACAGTGTCCGGATTGCAAAAATTTGCAATCTAAACAAGGCCATAGCTACGGTACCACTTCGTTTTTATTTCACAATGAGTGTTCAATCATAGACTAATTAGGCTCAAAACGTTCGTCTCGTAATTTCTAACTAAACTGTGCAATTAGTTTTTTTTTCGTCTACATTTAATGCTCTATACATGTATCGTAAGATTCGATGTAATAACCACTGTAATACTTTTTGAGAAAGTTTTTTAAACTAAACAAGGCCCCACTTCGCTTACCACTTCAAAATAGATAAAATTTATTCATTTTATCTACTAAACTACCAAACAAACTAATTAAAAAAGAACTAAAATAGTTTAGTCACATTAATCATCCAAGAATAGCTAAAAATGAGTTAAAGTGCCCAGTGAACAAGGGCTGCTCCACTCTAATCTGAACATTCGTTAAGAATAGTTTGGTCTTTATTGAACTAATTTAATAGCCTTAATCAATCACTAGAACCAAACATGGATAACTAAAGATAGAGTTTTTGGTGTAAAAAAGAATAAAGAGTTCTTTTTTTAACGAACCCACACTCACGATGCTAAATTTCTATTGACAGCATAATTAGTGCATATATATATATATATAAGGTCCAAACATTGTTAATATGGTAAAAATATGTACTCACTAGTTAGATGCTATTATTTATGGATAATCTAACCTGTATAAACATCCCCATCAAACTTGAACAATATTAGATTGGTTGTAATCTACAAAAAGACGATCACATTTGCGCTAGAGCTTTTCAATCTTTTATTTTGGACAAAGAAGCTGTAATTGTTCCATCTGGCATACTTATTAACAAAATTGAGTAACAATTTTCACACGATAAACTATAACTATAATCCTATTAATACCCTAGCTACCATTCCAATACCCGACAATAAATTATTGATCACCTTTCAGCGAAAACACAAACTTGTATGATCAATATATTGGTTAAAAGTAAAGTGGTTGTTGAAAAAAAGTAGAGGAACACCTTGGTTCCAATCATACAAGTTTATGAACTAATACTAGTAAACCAAATTCATGTTGTAAACCAAGATCATCCCCGTGTGAGGAAACCCATTTTGGCATTATTAGAATAGACGATTAAACTCGTATCTCGCCATCACTGTCGCCAAGGATCAGGCCTTCTGATTTGAGAGCTTGGACTTCATCGTCAACTCATTGTCCCGCGATGTTCCTTGACGTCTCGGTGTCACTCAACGAGACGATGTCCTGCACCTTCACTCAATGTTTCGTGGCATCTCTCGGTGTCTTGCGACATCCCTCGATGTACCTCGGCATCACTTGATGTCCTTCCATATCTCTCAGCATCACCAGTGTCCCTCAACGACACCTCGGTCACACCACCACCAACAACTTCATCGGCCTCAGCTCAAGTTGGTCATGTCAGCTACCAACAATGTTGCTAGGCTCGACCCTAAGTCAAGTTATCACCAACAACATTGTCAGGTTTGACCACTCAGTCAACACTACCAACCACAACGTCGTCAATCTCAACCTGAGTCAGTTATGCTGCAGATGACAATGTCGCGGGGCTCGACCACTCGGTCATGCTGGTCGTCGACAACATCGCTAGGCTTGACTACTCAGTAACACCGTCACCAACAACATCGCTAGGCTCCGCCACTTGTTCACATTGCAGCTGACAATGTCGCTTGGCCCGACCCGAGAATGTGATGCCACTGTCAACATCATTATCGGGGCTCCACCACACAGTCATGGCGCCGCCAACATCACTGAGCACTACATTGAATCAGCTAAGTCACTTTCATAAATGTTTTCTTTATACCATGTTATATATTCCTTTGTCTTTCTATTAAGTTGGCACTCAACTTAGTAGTAAGTCTTGGATACACCTAACAGATGCATTCAGGTGCATGACTGTTCTTTTCTCTGTTATTTAAGTACATACATAATATACATGTGTAGGGTTGTGGGTGTGAGGGTGAGCACATAGGGCCTACCTATGGACACGTTTTAGTGAGATGGGGATTGCAAGGCTAGGGGGAGACAATGGTCCACGAACAAGATAGCAGTATGTACTTTTAAAGTAGGAGAGAAGAGAAGAGATTGTTAGGGGATCTTTGGCCCTGTTCAATAATAAAGCAGCCATGGAGTTGTTGTAACTCTGATGGATTTTCGGGGACCGCATAATTGGAGGAAAACAACAATGGTCTTGTCGAGGTTATGATCCCCGGGTGTCTCAAGGCATCGACTAGCAAGCAGGTCGGACAGCCCGCGATACTAAAGCCAAGCCTGAGCTCGAACGACTGAGGCCCAGCTAAGCTAAGCGGACCAGGCCAATCACTGAAGCCGGGTGTCGCGGGGTCGGAACCGAGGTAAGCATTGTTGTTCGAGTCGGTGTCAGAGTACGTGTCTCCGGTGGCTCGGGTGGACTCAAGAGCATAAGAATCACAAAGAGAACGCAACGGTTTATCCTGGTTCGGGCCGATCAGTGCCCTACGTCCAGCAATTGATGATCCTTATACTCAAAAGCACCCAAAATCGGGGGGTTACAACAAAGTGTAGAGAGAGATTTGGTAGGGGGTTAGCTCGGTGCTAATTCTGAGGTTGCCTCACCGCCGGTGGAGCCTTCCCCTCGTCGGAGAGGAGGAAGACTATGGGATGCGATGGAGGAGCTCTCGGTGCCCCTCTTTGGGCTGCCCTTGCTCTCGATGCTGAGCAGGAACCGATGGAATGGAATGGAATGTCTTGGATTCTCCTCCCCCTAGGTCCGACCTTATTCCTTATATAACGAGATAGGTTGGGTACATGGCGGTTTGGGGAGATGAGTCTACAGTCTACATGCGCCGGAGTCCGAGAAAGTCTTGCAGCGGCGCTCTATGGACCGTGGCGGTGTCGTGGAGTCAAAGAAGCCTTGGGCGTCATCCGGCTGCTCTGTTCTAACACTCTGCGTGTCAGGCTGTGTCAGTTTGGACCGGCCTCCCCTAGGTGGACCTTCTGGAGTCTTCTTGGTGGCGAAGGAGGTCGGCTCCAGGGGCTGACGTGCGGGCCCGGGAGCCGCCTAGTCCCTAGAGGCCGAATGAAGCTTGTCTTCTTGTGTCACGCCTCGTGTGTGACCCTATCGCGGGAGCGGGCGGCAAGGCCACGCCCGTAGTGCGGCGTCTGGGAGCCCCCTGTTGGTATTTCTTAACGCATATAGAAATAATCCACAAGCGCACGGAATTACCGTTGTAGCATTTCACCCAGAAGTATTTAGAGTATCTTATTTCCATGAGGAACGGAGGTGTAAGAGTCTGTTAAGCTAGTTCACCTAAGATAACAAGAAGAAGGATAGCTCGGGTAGTGATGTTTTCTAGGGATAGAGATTCTAAGATAAGATAGCTTTGTCACTATAGACTTACTTCGGGCATCGGCTTATACTTGGTCTGCCAAGTACCTTCGGCTTCCAGCTCTACGCTGAACCTGAACGTGGGGGATTATGAGGGATGGATAGGGCTGTCACCACCTGCCACCTACCCCTCAATCATAGGGAACGAGGCAAACGAAGGTAGCCTCTAGCCTAGACACCACATCTATGCTATTGACTACTACTCTAGCGTCGATCAGGGTTATTTGTCTTTATCAGGAGCCCTCTACTAGAGTATCCATCATGGGGGACGACGATGAACCCACAAATAAGTAAGAGTATAGCTTAATTAATCAAAAGACTTATAACCATAAGAACCACGAACACTTACTAAAATACCCATCGAGGTACAAAGCTTGTGTTCATCGAGGAACAAACGGGGGAAGGTTACCGACAAGTCCGACACTTCTTCCCCAAACTCTTCCCTCACATCTCTCTCTATTTCTCTACTAGAGCTAGCTAGGGCCTAAGCCCATGGAGTGGTGTTGCTCTTCTCTTGTGTGTTGTTGTTCAAATGAGAAGTAGGAAGCCTCCTTTTATAGGTGGAGAGGAGGGGGTTCCTTAGAAGAATGCTTCACCCCCCCATGGAAGGCACCAAATCGACCTCAAACCGATGTCCTAGGTACGTTGAACCCATCCATCCCCTACGGAACCGCCATAGCAAAGGTGGTGAGAGGTAGCCCACCAAAAATGGGCCGAGACGTGCCCGTAGGGGTGCTGGCGCACCAGGGGGTGCGTCCACACCTAGAGGTGTTGTTTTGGCCCCAATCTTTGTTCTATAGGCCTCTAGGACTGCATGGGCCACTCCTGCAAAGTTTGGAGCTATTTAGAGCATGTTTGCTTTGGGTTTTGGGCCTTTTTCTCCACGTGATAGGGCCCTGATTTGCCTGGTAAGTGGGCCTTCTCCCCCTAGGCTCGTATTGGGTGATGTTACGCCTTATCCGATTGCATATTTGGGTGTGTTTTCCTTAGTATTTCGACATGTCCTCCTGTAAATGGTAAGACACCAAAACTCATGGAAATAGTTAGTTCTAAAGCCCTATGTCTACGTTTGGTGTCTGTATGCTTAGGTTTTTATGCAAGTGTTGGTGGTAAAAGTGTGAGTTAAGGACTGCCAACAAACTCCCCCACACTTAGCCCTTTGTTTGTCCTCGAGCAAAGTTAGAGATAAAAGTAATCATGAGCATAAC